CCAAAGTTAATTGTCAATTAATATCTTGACTGCTCTGTGCCGTCTTTTTGCAACTAATCATATGCTAAGATGGTCAGCCATGGAGAACAAGAACAGTTTAGACATATTTACTTGGTGAGTGGTTCAAGACTATGCAGGCCTCTAGAGTTGAAGGCTTAAGTTTCAAGACAGCCCAAGTTCAAGTGTCTTAATCCATCCGGTGCTTTAAGAAGTCTGGATAGCTCCTAGTTACCAGAAACATGTTATGTTTAGGCTAGTTCATATTAAGCAGAGTCTAAAGAAATCGCTGTTGATGACACCAAACATTTCATTTCATAAATGGTAGGCTTTGAAGCCATGTTTGGGCATTAGGACTGTATCTACACGTGCACCGAATGGCCTTTTTGGCTTCTTTTTTTTTAAGGTTTCTGTTGGAAACATTGACTGATAACAAGTGAAGGATAGTTCCGTGAAGCCATCTAGTTCTAATTTTATATGTTAGGTTCAAAATAATTTTTTAGGATAAAGGGGACAAGTGCTTTGTGATGTCTGTGCCATTCTTGAGGGCATATGGATATCCGGATCAATTAAATGGGTTTTATTTGGGTGGTAAACATTAAATAAAGCATCGTTCCCTGAATCTGCACCCCTAGTTTGTCACCTACCTTTCTGTTGATCATGCACCAAGTAAAATATATGTTTTTGGGACCTCTTAATAATGCATCCATGGCATCCAATGAGTAAAATGTGTCCGACGGGCCCACCCTTGCAAAACATAGTCCCTGCGAGGTTCAAGGTTGTATTTCAACAAAAAATATTAGAGTTCCATTGCATGTTTGGTCCAATCGGATCACCTCAACAGATCTAGAGAGTCTTGTCGATTTTTTACGTCTTTCATTACTCGTATGGTGTTAAAATTTTGTTTAACTAGACTCCACTCATTTGCAATCGAATATAGTCGGATTTATATCTTTTATATGTCATGTTTACCTAGATTCATTAGAGCATAACCCAACATCGCTAACTTTTGTATCGTAACTACGTGTAAGCCTAACTGCAGAGTAGCTCGTTTTTCAGTCACATAGGAGAAAAGAAAGATGAAGAGAGAGAATGGGACAGATCTAGCAGTGAATGATACAGAATGCAATGGGACTCTCTCACTCATTGTTCACTTTTTTTCGTTTGCAGCTCCCTGTAGTTAACAAAAGCCTATGTATAAAGCAGTTCAATGGGAGGCCAAAATAATAAGGGGTGGGCTCCGGTTCCGACTCCGACTCCAATGGAGTAGGAGGCCAGGCCATGAGCAGGGATAGGCTGAGCCCACCTCTACAATGTAATCACATTTTTCCAGCCCACCCCTACTACGCTATTACTTATTTCACTTGGCCCAGCCTTTACCCAGATTTGAGCCATGTACCTAGTGGAAGCCCATTCCTTGTGAAAATATTAGCCTAGGCCCACGTATATCACCCCGCAAAATCAACGAAAAGTATTCTTTTTTTACCATCACTAATGTGATGCTTGGGGTGTGGATAGCTCTAGCCCAAACCCTGGGTGGCTGGGTGGGTGGGCCACCTTACAACCAAATTGTGAGTGATTTTAAATCCCAATACAACAAAAATTCTAAAGGATTCAGATATCTTTCAATACATTTTTTCATCGATTCTTTTTTTGACGGACTATTTATCATGAGACTCATTCTGTACAAGTGGGTCTTTCACTCATTAATGATAGTTAATTTAGAGATGATTTGAATTGATATTTAAGAAGAGAACTGTGTAGATTTGACACCGTTCAAGAATATTATATGATATAAACTGTTATACAATAATACAATGCTACCCAAAATAAAGATTTCTTTTTTCTTCCATAATGGTAGTTGGGGTGTTCTAGTCTTTGTTAGATTATGAATAAGCAGTACTATAAGACTTTGTATGAGGCTTCTACGAAAACCTATCTAGAAAGTTTGATGTTAATGTAAAACAGCCTCCCCAGCACAATGACTCACACCCTTCGGTTTCGAATTGAAGTAATGGAGCAAATAGTTTTGTCAGTCAGAATATATACTTGAGTTTTTATTATTTGGGTTTCGATTTAGGGGAGAAAATAAAGACATTCAATTTGAAGCCACTTTTAAGACTTTCCTATCCAAGAATAATGCCTTTGACCACATCCTAAGAAAGGAGAAATAGAATGACAAGAAAAGGAAAACTTGATACACAACCTGATGGCTTATGATCACACCTATATATACTTGTCAAAAAAGAGTGATTGAAGGTTGGGGCTCCAAAAGTACATGTAGGATAAGTAAGTGTTTTAGGATTTTAGGAGATGGTCTAAAAAAGTGTCCTGCCACGGAGGATAACTTCTAACAATACTAAGGTAGAACTAATTAAGAACCACAAGAGTAAGAGTTGATTAGGAATGTATTGACCAAGTTCATGCCACGGCGTTTTATGAATACCAAAGAGAGCATAATGCTTTAAACTTGTTCGGAGTGAATATGTTAAAAAACTTGGTAAGCATCGGATCAACCATAATAGAAGGCATGTCGTCTTGTGTGACTGTAGTATTTACTTCCCAAAGAAATGAGCTTTATGGTTCTAAGGGCACTCGCAGCCAGCCAACTATATATTTAATCTAAGCTGTATATGCAACCCCCGGCAGAGATCCGGTGGAGTTTGTCGTGTTCGTATCTGATAATAGAGAGTGGACACTGACTTAACTCCAAATCCAGTCATTATCAAACTCCACGTTGTTTCGAATATTAAAGCTTCACCGTTCCGTGACGGCAAGAGGGAAACGGCTGCTGTCCATGAAAGCATCTTGGGTTGGGTTGGGTTGGTTGAGTTTGGTTTGACCCGGCTGTGGGGGATAGAGGCTACCACCAGTTCATCATCCACCTAATCAAGCCCTTTTGAAGATATAGAAAAAACCACAGAAAGTGAGGTGGTTACAACTCACAACCAGAGCTTAAACTCAATCATACTTCACCTGCTTCGGTGGGCCAGTGGGATGGCTTCAACTGCTTTTCCTGATCATCAATCAGAAGCATATGGAGAAACTTCTCTCCATTCATTGCCCATGTTTTTAATCTAGATTGCATGATATGTTGCACAACAATTTAATGATTGCTAGAAGTATAATAAGACCCATGATCTGGTGTGTTGAATTTCACCATGATTTCATGATGTTACACCCTCTAATAATGATTGTTATAAGCAATGTGAGGGATAGTAACGGTTTAATATCTTCTAATATCAGACGATGATGATGGGATTTGAATTCTAACACCCACTATCCAGTTATCCCACCCTAGTCACTAGGCCAAGGCCAAGGGTAATAGTGATCATTTTCTTTCAAAAAGCTGAACATCGACAATAAGCCATTTTCTTGCATATTTTTGGCCGTTGGATTACTGTCACCACTTAGTCTCAATGTGTAACTAGAGAAACTGAACCCACCCTTTGATTTGTGAAGTTGAATTGTGAGTTAATCCAAGAAAATGCTGGTATTCAGTCAAACAATTTCAAAGAAACTCTATTGGAAAAANTTACCCAGATTTGAGCCATGTACCTAGTGGAAGCCCATTCCTTGTGAAAATATTAGCTTAGGCCCACGTATATCACCCCGCAAAATCAACGAAAAGTATTCTTTTTTTACCATCACTAATGTGATGCTTGGGGTGTTGATAGCTCTAGCCCAAACCCTGGGTGGCTGGGTGGGCCACCTTACAACCAAATTGTGAGTGATTTTAAATCCCAATACAACAAAAATTCTAAGGGATTCAGATCNGTTGAATTGTGAGTTAATCCAAGAAAATGCTGGTATTCAGTCAAACAATTTCAAAGAAACTCTATTGGAAAAACCCAAATGCATCCGGCTAAGAAATGAGAATTTTTTTATTTTTTATTTTTTTTGGGGAGGGGTAAGAGGAAGGGGGAAAGAGAAAGGGGACCTAAACCGTTAATTTCAAGGCAAAAATTTTATAAGATAAAGAGTACCATTAGACCAAACACTCATTGGTATAAAAAATAAATACGAGGCCCTATGCACTAAAAGNAAAACCCAAATGCATCCGGCTAAGAAATGAGAATTTTTTTATTTTTTATTTTTTTTGGGAGGGGTAAGGGGAAGGGGGAAAGAGAAAGGGGACTTAAACCGTTAATTTCAAGGCAAAAATTTTATAAGATAAAGAGTACCATTAGACCAAAGACTCATTGGTACAAAAAATAAATACGAGGCCCTATGCACTAAAAANAAACTTAACTGGTTTAGAATACGAGTCGAACTCGAGCTGAGTCTTATCCGACCCAAGTCCTAGCCGAATCCGAGTAGCTTATCTCGATAAACACCCCTACTTCAGAGCTATTTGATTTTATTTCACTTTTTCCATATACTTAAATGCNGTTGGTGGTGTTGAACTTTGTCGAAGTGCCAAATCTCTATAAAATTTCATCTCTCTCCGGTTCAAACACACTCACACATGTGGAACCTTCCACACCAAACTGCTCNCAAAAAATAAATACGAGGCCCTATGCACTAAAAACTCATATTTCGTCCAGTTGAAGTTAGACATGTACAGGTCTGAAAATAGTTGGTGGTGTTGAACTTTGTCGAAGTGCCAAATCTCTATAAAATTTCATCTCTCTCTCCGGTTTAAACACACTCACACATGTGGAACCTTCCACACCAAACTGCTCACCCAACCCCACCTTCCCCTCATAAGTAGACCACCCCCAGTCTTTCAGCATCATTTCCTAGTAATCTTGTCTTCCAAACAACTCTCTCTCTGTCTCGCACACACACACACACATATACATTGAGAAAAGAGTACATACCACCTTATTAAATAGAGTCATAAGTTCCTTGATTTTATCTATTCCTCTGTTTCATTTATTTGTCTCTGATATACACTATATTTTCCTTTCTGGGGCTCTTCTCCTATGCCATACCCAGTTTTGAATTCCTATATAATCGAGAAAGTGCTTCTAGTTGTTGGAAAGTAAAGATCAACCGAGATGGGTGCAACCTCAAGACTTGCACTGGTTTCTTGTGTTTTGATTTCCCTTTTTTTATCATCCTCTGCTCAATCATGCACCAACTATGCCTTTGCAAGCAACAAGGTCTTTAGTACTTGCAATGATCTTCCATATTTGAATTCGTTTCTTCACTGGACTTATGACCCATCTTCAGAAACTGTCCAAATCGCCTTCCGACACACTAGAGTAACATCCTCAAAATGGGTTGCATGGGCCATCAATCCAAATTCAACAAGCATGGTTGGATCACAAGCACTTGTTGCTTTCCAAAAGTCTGACGGAACGATGAGATATTACACATCGCCTGTGACAAGTTACGGTACCCAGTTGGCGGAAGGGGATTTGAGCTTCCCCGTCTCGGATTTATTGGCAACATTTTCAAATAATGAGATCACCATTTTTGCAACTTTGAACCTTCAAAAAATTAACAGTACTACTGTAAATCAGGTTTGGCAAGATGGCCCAGTTTCAGGTGATACTCCTGGGGCACATGATCAATCCGGTGATAATATTCTATCCATGGGGACTATAAACCTTCTTTCAGGAGAGTCTGGGACTACAGTAGGAGGAGGAGGAGGGAACACAAAAATCAAGAAACGGAACGTAAGTAATTGAATCCTTGCTCTAAATATAATTTAGACTGTCATAATATATGATGATAAGACATGTAATTTTGTGGCTAAAAGTCTTTAATTATCTCCAAACCAGAGAGTTTTCAATAAGGTTGAGTTAGATCAACTCTAGAACGAATAGGAGATCTATCAATACTACTTCGTATCTTTCGTAGTTTAGGAACTAGTCCATCCACAGGACAATTTTTTTAGTGAGAGAAATCTACTTACTTATTTTTGTATAGCAGTAGTTAGTTTTGGCTAATATATTATGAATTTTCAGATTCATGGGGTTTTGAATGCAATCAGCTGGGGCATCATGATGCCTGTAGGTGCTTTGTTCGCAAGATACTTGAAGGTATTCAAATCGGCGGACCCTGCATGGTTTTACCTTCACGTTACTTGCCAAACATCGGCGTACATCATTGGTGTCGCCGGATGGGCCACCGGACTCAAACTCGGAAGTGAGTCTCCTGGAATTCAACACACCACCCACAGAAACATTGGCATTCTCCTATTCCTCCTTGGAACCCTCCAGGTGCCCCCACATTCCCCCATATTTCCAGTTGTAATGCCATAAAAAATAAAAAATAAAAAAAATTACACTTTGCACACCTCAATAGTCACATGTTTCTCATTGTACCTTCAACTATGTTTAATAGTTTTACTTTGATCCAATGGTTAATGTCAATTACAAATTTGACGAAAAGTTATTTCATTTTTACTTATGAGTAAGGGGGTGTTAATCGAACCGAGCTCTACAAGCTTGAGTCCGAGTATACCAAGTTTGTTTTTTTAAACAAGTCTAAAAATTAATTAAATTTGACTTGTTTAGAACTAGAGCTGAGCATGAGCCCGGGCCAAACTTGAACCAAATCTGAATAACTTGACTATTTTATATATAAATGAGTTGACCTTGAGTCAAGCTATTTTAAGACTCATTCTTTTTAAACGAGCATAAAATATTGTTCAAACTTAACTGGTTTAGAATACGAGTCGAACTCGAGCTGAGTCTTATCCGACCCAAG